ACACCACTGCCCCAAATAATTTCCTGTATTATAACCCCGACAATCCTATTAAGAACCAGAATTGAAAAAAAGAAAAGAAGGTTTGGAGAATCCAATTTGTTTCTAGCCCTAGGGTGGTCTTTCAGAAATGGAGAAAGGCTTCTGGGAAGGTAGTAAAACATATCAGGCTAAGGCAAGTCTTGTTCCTTAGCAGGTGAAGCATGCCTTGAGAGAATAATGCTTTGGTGTGAGGAGAGATGGAAACACACCAGGACTTTGCAGATTTTAACGTGCATCTCTATGGTCTAGGAAAACAACACTGTTGAGTAAACATTTAAAAGTAGCTTTGAAGTTTAAAGGAAAATTGTTTCCTAAGAACAAATTGGTGCTCTAGAATAAATATGCCCATTGAGGAACACATTTATTTCTGCATTGCCTTTGCAGTACAGACAATTTAGTGGCATAGCTTTGACATCAGACTGACCTGGTTTAAAACTCTGGTAGAAATGTCATTTTCTTTTTAAAGTGAGTCATGAATTGCACAGATTTTAAATCTACTTTTTGGGGGCTGACAGTTTGATGGTTGAAGTCACTTATATTTCTTTAAATAGAAGGCGCTGAAACAATGATGATTTTTGCTGAGCCACATAATTTTAGAACTTAAGCCCAAAGTTCTCAGTTCACCAGTGATAAAACTGAGGAGCAGAGAGGTTACCTGATGCATCCAGGGCCACATCACAATACTACACTGGTATTTTCGATTCAGAGTTGAAAACCAGGTCTATTGTGCGCTTAGCAGAGATTCTCTCCTTCCCTGGGCTCACTTACTAAGGAAAGCTGTTCCATTTACAGTTAAGATGCAACGCCATGCAACTCCTGGACTAGAAGAGCTTTGAGAATTTATTTCATCTCATTGCTGAGTTTCAAGGGTCCTTTTATCTCTAATACGCAAGAGTCTATTTTTATATTTTATTTGTATAGTGACCCAGGACGTATTATAGACTGTTGCTCTCTTTCTTAGTAACAAACTGTGTTTAATAACTGCAAAGGATATGTGGATAAAATACAAGTGCATTTTTATTTATAGAAACACTATATATAAAATTTAGCAGGAGGCATCTGACTTCCTTAGCTCCACCTCTTTTCTTGTTACTCCCTCAATTGAGAATGTATTACCCAGATAAAATTTAGAACATCAGTTAGGCCACATGTACCACTTGAGCACGTCACTGAGATAAAGTATCAAGCACTGCTTTTGCCTTTTATACCTTCATCATTAATGCAACCGAGGGAGTAAGTTAAGCAGATGTGGCCTTCTTGTTTCCTTTGTTTTGCATTTCTTCTTTCATATGATTGTACAAAGCTTGGTACAATTTTAAGAATTAGATTGAGAGGAAGGCATCAAGTTTTACCCACAAGCTCCATCCAGCTGCATGTCCCCCCTCAAAGGTCTGTATAGGAACACCTAAAATTTAACACCTATAATAAAACTTTTAATAAAGGGGTTGTTTGGTTTATTTTTGGAAACTAATGTATGAAATTCCTGCAGAGGAGGGGGATCGTTATTAGTAGGACAAAATTTAGGTATTTCTCAGGTTCTTCAATATATTTCAACCAAAACTCAATTAATTCATTTACACAAAAAAAAATTTATTAAGCATCTTTTGTGTGCCACACTCTATTCCAAGTACTGGAGACAAAGAGGTGAGCAAGAGAGACAATTTTCCATCTTGATGGAGCTTTTATTTTAGTTGGAGAGACAAAAACAAACAAATGTATCAATATGTCATCCAATTTCCAAAAGCATTGTGTAACTGTGATCATTCATCAAGATTTAGGTACTCTTTGAAGTATTTCTAAATGATATATCATTTCGTCCTTATTGCAATAATATTAAGTAGGTATATAATAAAGTATAACATGATATAACATGTTATACTACTATATTGCATAATACAATAATGCAATATTTCGCAGGTGATAAAGCTGCAAATTTTCCAAGTTTCCACTGCTCTTCAGTGTCTGAACTAGAACCTAAACTCAGAGTCATCTGAATCAAACTACATATAAGTGAACTTATATTTTTCATTTGCCGTTATTAGGAAGCAATCACAATGTCTTGGGTGCTATGAAAATAGTGGAAATATAAAGACAAATAGGAATGGTCTTTACTATCAAGAAACAGCCAGCTGGTAGAGGAGACAACTGTACAAACAAATTATTGTAATGATGTGCTATGAGAACTGTGGTGAGAGCTGTAAAGGAGGCAGTGGGAGAAAAAGGAGAGAAAGAAGGTGATACAAATTGCCAAGAAGACAGGGTTTCCAAGTTGCATCTATCACTGTGTTGAATGCCCTTTTACATCTGGGTGCCACTGAATTTAGAGTAAAGCAGTTATGCGATCACAGTGGAAGGAAGGAGACAAGTCACCAGTTTTCTAGATAAAACTTTGTTTCTAACTGACAATGTGAGAAACAGCTAAAACCTCTAATATTCTGAGGGTTTGTTTTTCATGTTTTTTTTTTTCATACTCACAATCAAATGAAACGCACCTGCCTTATCCCCACATGGAGTTGTATGCTGTAAATACAGGATAATTTGTATGCTGTAATAGTAGAATAAGAAGTGAGCAGTGATTTGGCAAAAGATAATGTGTCATAAGAAGATGCAGCATGTTTAATATTCATAAATATTATTAAATAACTTTTTCACTTTTTAATCTTCTCTTTTCTAGGCCAAATCATTCAAAATCCATAGCCTGTCTTCACACAGCCTGAGTAGAGTTATTTATATAAAAATTGTTTCTCTTGTGCCATCCCTTTTTCACTGCATGTCATCAGTTTCTGGAATTTGGAATTACTCCTACAGAGTTTTATTCTCGTTCCTTATACATGTCACCCATATATTTATCCATTCTTTCTTTTATTTTACTTTGATCAAAGTATGAGTGTTTTGTCTGATTCTGCCTTTACAAATTTAAAAACTGCTTTATAAATTATTCTTGTGTGTTCCAAAAATTCAAACAGGAGAATAAAATTCTAAATTCACCTAAAAGCCTGCTACCCAGACATGGCTCCCATTTACACTTTGAAAACTTTCTCTCCATATTGGTAATTCCCAGACTTTAATATGCTTCAGAATTACCTAGGAAGCTTTGTAACACTGCAGAGTCCCTCAGGCCTTCACTCCTAGCGGTTTGCCTTAGTTCATTCAGGCTGAGTCCAGTATTCTGAGTTTAAATAGCAAGAGACTTTTTAAAAATCTGAGGCAATTCTGATAGTGACGACCTGCATACCATATTTTGAAGAAAAAACAAAACAACAACAAAACTACTGCCACAGACAACATCCTGTGCCACTGTAGGAAAAGGTATACAAATTCACATAAATGTTCTTGTGGTAGATATCATTGGTTGACTCCTCCAATGTGATTTTCAACTTATTTCCCCCAGGAGTTGGGAATCCCAGTATTAATTTTTCTAATCTCCTCTGCAGCTACAGTTGGCCATGTAACCCAGTTTTGCCCAGCAGGAGCTTCTGGGAAATCTAATCTGTTTTCTGATAAAACAAAAAGGTACAGGAGCAAATTGATTGTCACTGCCCCCTGACCCTTTGAAGGAGATATTTGTATTTGTTACTATCAATCATCTTTTGGATTGCCTAGCATAGAAGTTAGGAGCTTATAACTGATCAGGTGTACAATCTAAGCCCCATCAGACACCCTCATGAGGATGATTTGGAAGTGAGCACTGTTTAGGAAACAGTCTCTGTGTGGAGTTTCCACCCTGTTATAGGTGGTTGATGGCTGAGGTATCTGGATTTAGGCATCATCAGTGGCAATGATGGCAGTTTCCTAGAGATAGTAAGATAGGGTAACCTACTAATGCTAGTAGTAAGATAGGGTAACCTACTAATGCTAGTAGTAAGATAGGGTAACCTACTAATGCTAGTAGTAAGATAGGGTAACCTACTAATCTTAATCCTTAGTTTTGCTACTGGAAGTCTTGTGTCCCTAGGAACTCCCTTAGTCACAGGTAAATCTGAACAGTTGGTCACCCTGTGACTAGGGTAACATTCCTGAAACAGGTGTGGTATTAGTTTGGTGCAAAACTAATTGTGGTTTTTGTCTTTTACAAGTAATGGCAAAAACCACAATAACATGTGCACCAACTTGAAAGTAAGCTCAAGTTTCAGTTAAAACAAGTTCCTAAAATTTAGGGGTAAACAATGGCAGTAGCTGTAGTTTCCATACTGTTTTGTGATGGGACTTGGGGATTTTTTTCTCCTGAAAGCTGAGACTAGGCCCTCTTTTCTACCATCCTCCCAATAGTTTCATGGGATGCTGAATAGATTGTAAACTATTTTTAAGCTTAAACTAGCAGGGATGAATTTTTTGTTTTCAACTAAGGTACTTGACTAATGCTCTTTACTTTTGCCTTAAATACCACCATGGCATCGAGAGCTAGAGTAGCCATCTTATAATATGAAATGATGAGAATAAAGATAAAAATAAGCAGTTAAGGAAGGCAAAGTGGAAAGGAAGAATGAGCTTGTGTTCTTGCTAGTATAATTGAAACAACAAACAAGTCTTGGGACTGCCTATCTATAAGACTTCTTCTATCTGAGATAATATATGCCTGGTTTTAAGCCATTGTGCCTCAGTTAAGTAAGTTTCTTAACTGTTAAGGGCTTATGTTAAGCATGTTGTTACGTAACCTGTAACTTCCTTGGATGCCTATCTTCACTTCCCACAAAGTCTTGTTCATCGGTTTTAAACTGTTTCCTTGTATTTTTATGCTTTTGTCTTGTATGAGTTACCTGAAAAAATTAGTAAAATTTGTGGGTGAAAATATTAAGTGATATTTGAATGTATTGATAAACACAAGATGTATTAAATAAAATAGTTTAAAGGACTGGTTAAAAACTTATATAAAAGCTGATGGATAATTTCTGCTCATTTGTTTTGTAGCCCATATTTCTGCAGGAGGAAGGAGTTACTTTATGTCTTTTTTATTCCTTTAGACTTTATGTTCTGACTGCAAAATTGGTCCTGGAAAAGACAGTTAAAGCACCTTTTATCTCTTTTAAACAAGAAATGAGATGGTTCTCAGCTGTGAGAAGTTTTACTGGGTTGCTCTGATCAGATGACTAAAAGACAGGATAAAGAAAAAAAGAACAGGGAGAAGGAAGGAAGGAAGGGAAGAAGTAAAGAGTGAGAGAAAGAATAAAGGAACACACATAATGAAGGATGAAAGGGTAAGTCAACTTGAGAGCTCCAGTACAAAAAACAAATGATCACAGATAGACATCATCTGACTTGTTTAGAACTGTCCCCTTTCCTGTCATCATATTTAATTTTTTTTTCGGATAATCCTATAAGTGTTTTTCCTTTCAGAGTATTAGAGACTACATAAGAAGCAAGGTCACCTCTATTTTCCCAGAAAGAGCATTTTGCCAAGACAAGAGACTGTCAGCAAGGCACAGTGCTTCCAGCCCAAGTCTCCCCTACCTTGGAATCTTCCTGCCACACTGGCAATCTTCCTGATGCAGACCTTTTGTTTCCACATATGAAGTGCTGCTCCACCAGGATCCAACATCTACCAAAGACTCATCAAAGGGACTTGTTGCTGTCAAGGGGGAGTTTTTTTCTTTTGGTATCAGGAATCTGAAGCCACACTTAGGATAGCCCCTTGTTGGTGTCTGTGCCTCCACTCAGCTTGCTTTCTCTAGAGTCCTGGCTCTTACCTGTGCAGTTAGTGAGAATAAAACTGTATCGTTTCTGACCAAGTCTGTCAGGAACCCTCTGTCACAAATCTTCCAGGGTAGCCTACACAAATAATTTACCTTCTAACTGAAATCCCCAACGAGGTATGCTACTTTTCAGCCGGCAGTATATCTCTTTTTAATTTTTTTATTTTATATTTATTTATTTATTTTCTTGAGACAGAGTTTCACTCTTGTTGCCCAAGTTGGAGGTCAATGGCACAATCTCGGCTCACTGCAACCTCCACCTCCTGGTTCAAGCGATTCTCCTGCCTCAGTCTCCTGAGTAGCTGGGATTACAAGCACTTACCAGCACACCCGGCTACTTTTTGTATTTTTAATAGAGACAGGGTTTCACCATGTTGATCAAGCTGGTCTTGATCTCCTGACCTCAGGTGATCTGCCCCCCTCAGCCTCCCAAAGTGTTTGGATTACAGGTGTGAGCCACCATGCCTGGCCTTATTTCATTTTTGAGCAGCATTTGAAAAAAAACCATTGGTCCATCATTATCTACTTGGGAAGTTATTTCTTCCCTCTGAGTCTCAGTTTCTTTATGCATAGTAGAAACATAACAATCTCTACTTCATAAAGTTGCGTTGAGAAATAAAAAAGTGTATTAGTCTGTTTTCGCACTGCTGATAAAGACATACCTGAGACTGTACAATTGACAAAGGAAAGAGGTATAATGGAGAACTCACAGTTCCACGTGGCTGAGGAAGCCTCATAATAATGGTGGGAGGTGAAGGAGGAGCAAGTCAAGTCTTACGTGGATGGCAGCACACAAAAAGAGAGCTTGTACAGGGAAACTCCCATTTTTAAAACTATCAGATCTCATGAGACTCATTCACTATCACGAGAACAGCACAGGAAAGACCTGCCACCATAAGTTAATCACCTCCCACTGGGTTCCTCTCACGACAGGTGGGAATTGTGGGAGTTATAATTCAAAATGAGATTTGGGTGGGGACACAGCCAATTCCTGTCAGTGAAGTTCTTAACATAGTGCCCAACACATAATCATAATGTAGATTTTTTCCTCCTGATCCCACTTAACTTAGGATGGGAGTTTCTAAGAAAGGCTTATGTTTTGCCCAAGTAGAAGTCTAGAAGGAATATTCTTAGAAACATTTCTGACAAATAGAGTGGCAATAACAGACTCAAAGATTCTGAGTCTGGAGATGAAGAAAGTTTTCTGGAATAGGATATGACATCCCTTAAAACAACCTGCTCTAGCAGAAGATAATATTAGAACTTTGTCGATGACATTTTTCTTTAGAAATTTCTCCAGTAAAGAAATTTATGTAGGTGGACAGTGGTGAAAAAATGTAGCATAGTAGTTAAGAACAAGTTTCACTTCATCCTGAGTCCAAATTCTGTTTCTGGAATTTTCAACAATACCTGGATAGATGATTTTACCACTCTGGCTAAATTTCTCTCTTCAATCAATGGGAAATACAGGGATAATTAGTGAAATACAGGGATAATGTATGGATGAAATACGATGTTTATGATGTAGCCAACATATCTTGAGACTTCTCAGCCTCTGTAATTGTGTGAACCAATTCCCCATATATTCTCTCTCTCTCTCTCTCTCTCTCTCTCTCTCTCTCTCTCTCTCTCTCTCTGTCTCTCCTACTGGATCTACCTCTGTGGAAAACCCTTATTGATACAATGTCTTTGAAACAGTAAGCATTATTAAGTTTGATAAAGTTAAATTTAAAATTGTCTCTAATGATTTGGGTTTTTTTATGTGTGTGATGGCTGTAGGAAATTTTTATGTAGCCAAAGCTGCAAAGATTTTCTCCTGTGTTTTTACTTCTGAAAGTTTAAGCTTTAGCTCTTAAATTTGGCATCATATATTTCGACTTACTTTTTGTATAAAGTGTGAGGTAAGGCTTGATACTCATTTGTTTCCTTGTGAATATCCCATTATTGTAGCAGTTTGTTTAATAATGTATCATTTCCCTATTGAATTGTTTTGACACTTTTATAGAAATTGATACACCATTTAAGTATGGGTCTATTTTTGGACTTCCCATCCTGTTCTATTTATTTATATGTCTGCCTTTATGCCAACATCACACAGTGTTTCTTACTGAAGTTATATTTTAAGTCCTGAAATCAGGTAGTGCAAAGTTCATCGTAATTATTTTAGATTTCCTAGGCCCTTAAATATAAACTTAAGAATGAGTTTGTTAGTTTCTAAAGACAAAGAAAAACAAACTAAAACAGCCTTACAGGCTTATCATTGGTTACATAATAAATCTATTGATCAATTTGGGAAGAATTAACATTCTACCAATTTTGACTCTCCCAACCTGTAAACATAGTATATCTTACTCATTTATGTATGTTATTCTTAATTTTACCAGCAATGTTTGGTAGTTTTCAGTTTACAGGTCTTGCCCATATTTTATTGTGTGTATCTCTAAGTATTTCATGTTTTACTGCTATTTTAAATGAAATTGATTTCTGTATACCGATGTCTCTTACCCTTCGAGTAGATCTAAGCTTCCATCTGGTATAAGTTTTTATTAATTTTTATTTTTTTTTCAGTATGTGGCACTTTAACTTTTCTCATAGTGCAGGTCTGCTGACAAAAGATTATTTTTAAAGTATTCATTAGATATTTTTATATTGTAGAAGTTCTCTTTTATTTCTAGTTTACTGAGCATTTTTATCAGGAGTGGGTGTTGAATTTTGTCATAGATATTTTTTCTCCTGGATCTTAATTAATATAATCACGTAGATTTTCTCCCTTATCCTTTAAGTATGGCCAATTACATTGATTAAATATTGAATACGAAATCAACCTCACACTTGGGGATAAACCTCTTTCAGTGATGATGTATTACAATATGTGGGTATGTTGCTGATAAGAATTTTTGTTTCTATGTTAATGAAGGATATAAGCCTGTACTTTCATGTTTTTGTAATATTTTCTTTTGGTTTTGGTATGAGAGTAACACCATATGTATGGCCTTATAAAATAAGTTGGAAAGTATTACCTCTTATATTTTCTGAGCGAGTGTATATAAGACTATTATATTTTCCTTTATGATTGATAGACGTCACAAATGAAACCATCTGGGCTTCCAATTTTCTTTGTGAGGAGAATTTAAATTACAAAGTCAATGTTTTTAATAGATTACAAACTATTACAATTTTCTATATTTGTCTTTGTACAAGTTTTGTAATTTGTGTTTTAAAGTGCTTTAATAATTTCATCTAAATTCATAAATTTATCATCACAAATTTTTCATAATTTCTTAATATCTTTTACATATTGTTGACACTTTTGTAAAAATCAGTACAACATCTTTTGGAAACCTTAATGACATTCCCTTCTTTGTTTCTGATACAAGCAATTAATGCATTCTCTCCATTTTTTCCATTAATCTTTCTGGTGGGAAAGGTATCAATTTTATTGATCATTTCATAGAACTCGTTTTTAATCTGAATGATTTTCCCAATTGTTTGCCCATGTATATTTTATTGACTCCTCTTTATTATTTAATTCCACTTATCTTGGGATTAATTTAATTTCTTCTACACCTCAAGGAGAAACCTTAAGTCAATGATTTGTGTCTTCTTTTCCAATATAAGTAATTAAAGTTATAAATTTTACTTCAGCCATTTCTCTAACCATACCCCACAAATTTGAATATGTTGTGCTTTCATTGGCTTTCAGTTCAAAATGTTTTAAATTTTGTTTTGAGTCATAGGTTATTTAAAAGTGTGTTGTTTAATTTTCAAATTTGTTGGAATTTTCTAGACTTTTTTGTAATATACATTATTCAATTCTATTATAGCCAGACTATTTTGTATATTTAATTACTTTAAATTTATTAAGACTTTTTAATGGCCTAGAATAGTTTATCTTAGTAAACAATCCACATATTCTTCAAAAAAATTAGGTTTCTACCCGTTTTAGTTGCAGTGATATAAATAATATAAATTAAATCAGCTGATAGTATTTTTCAAGCTTTCTATGTCTTAACTAATTTTTTATATACTTGTTCTATAAATTACTGAAATACACGTGTTAACAACTTCAACTGTAATTCTGTAATTTTTGTTTTAGCTCTACGTATTTTTGCTTTAAAAACTTTGAAACTCTGTTATTAGGCACATATGCATTCAGGATTTCTTGATCATGAGTTCTAGTTATGGATTCTTGATGTACTGGGGATCTATATTCATGTGAACACCACCACAGTTAAAATATAAAACAGTTGCCTAATAAGGATTCCTCATGTTCTCCTTTTATAGGTACAACTTATCTCCAAATCCTTGACAGTCCCCAATCTTTTCACTATCCTTATAATTTTGTAAGTTCAATACTATAATATAAATAGAATCAAGCAGTATGCAACTTTTCAAGACTGGATTATTTTACTCAACACAATTTACTTGAGGTCCATTCAAGCTGTTTTTGGTGTATCAATAGTAGTTCCTTTTTTACTGCTGAGTTGTATTCCACTGTGTGGATGTACCACATTTGTCTACTCATTCACACATGAATGATATTTGGGTTATTTCCACTATGGGGCTAATATGAATAAAGCTGCTATGAACATTCATGTGCCAGTTTTGTGCAAAAGTTTAAGTGCTTTTTTTTTTTTCTTGCATACATGTTCAAGTATTCAATTGCTGAGTTTTACGGTAAATACACGATTTATAAGAAACTGAAAAACTGTTTTCCTGAATATATATACCACTTTAGATTCTCAGTAACAATCAGAATGATCCAGTTTTTTTACATCTTCACCAGTGTTTGGTGTTATTACTATTTTTTATTTTAGCTATTCTGATGGGTGTATTGTGATGTGTCATTGTGGTTGCAATGCACATGTGTCTAATGATGAATGATGCTGAACATCTCTTCATGTGCTTATTTGCCATCTGTACACTCACTTAAGCAAAATGTCTTTTGCCCATTCACTAATGGGATTGTTCTTTTCTTTTTTGACTGTAACTTTGAGAGATTTTTATATTCTATATATAAGTACTTTGTAGAATATCTGGTTTACAAATATTTTTTCCCAATATGTAGCTTGGCTTTTCATCTTCTTTACAAGGTCTTTCGTAAAACAAAATCTTTTAATTTTGATGCAGCCTAATTTATTCAACCTTTCCTTTTGCAGATCATGATTTTGTTGTAAGGTTTAACACTAATTTTTCTAATCTTAGGTCCTGAAAATTTTCTCCTAATTTTTATTTAAAAGTTTTATGCTTTTACTCAGGCAAGGCTGTTTTTTTTTTTTTATTTTGCCTATGGCTGTCAAAATGTTCCAGCACCGTTTATTGAAAAAACTATCCTTCCTCTATCAAATTGCCTGGCACCATTTTCAAAAATTGTTTAGGCATATTTGTGTGGATCTGTTTCTGGATTACTGATTATAGTTCTTTAACATATGTTTTTATTCTTCCGCCAATATTCTTGATTACTGCAAATGTCTTTTAAGCCTTAACTTCAAGCAAAGTTTAGTGGTTTTATCTCTTCTAGCTCCCTAGCATTTCCATATAAATTTTAAAACAAACTTATCTATGTCCGCATAAAAAATATATGCTCTTTTTTTTTAACAATTTAATAAACATGATGTTACCAATATAGTGGACCAATGTGATATTCTCTTTTTACAAGATGGTCAACATATTCAGACTAGATTGTGGCAGAGAATTAAGAACTTATAGAGCTGTAAGGTGAGGTAAAAGATATACTGTTATCTTTCTAGATTATATATAATAAAATGGATATTTATTGTACATTTTTAAAAGCCAACTTGGTTGAGTTGTTCTGTTGTCTGCAACTTAAAAAGTCCTCTTTAATGAATAAGATGAATGTTGGAGTAAGACTAACTTGGATTAAATTCTTGCTCTGACATGAATTACATAACTTTGAGCAGAATACTAAACATCTTCGGGCCTTAGTGATTTTGAGCATGAAATAATAATAATCAAACCTATCTTATAGATTTCTTGAGAAGATGAATTAGAACATCTGCCTTAAGGTTCTAGACCAGTGTATGTAACACAATAAACGTTCAAGGAATGGTTGCTATGATGATGACGACGATGAAGATGACAGCAATGATGATGATGAAATGAGTTGGTAAGTTATGTCATTGAATCAGTTCTTAGCTTTCTAGATTCCACAGCCAAGAGAAAATCATGTTTCCGAGATTCCATAATAGCCCCACAAAGGCTGTGACGTTAATTTTTAGTTTAAAAAATACTCTGGAGAGGACCATACACAGAAATTATTAAGAAGCTTAATAGCTTAATAGTCTATGATTTCAACAATAGTTTTAGAGCAAGGCAGTGCAAATTTAACTGGGATATTTCTAGTTTTCAAATTTAAAATTGTAACTCAGTTAAGGTATCACCTCAAAGCATTCACCTACTGTGATCTAAACATGTGAGTTCATTCTAGAGGAATATTTAAATTTTATAACAGTTTGGCTAACTTTCAATATATATTTCTATCACCTAGCCTTTAAAAATGAATCTATTATACACTCCTCATAATAAAATTAAAACAACAACTAATTTCAGAAAATGAATAATGGAGGTACCTCTATCCTACTCTGTAGAAGCCACTGCTGATGTTTTACTGTGTATTCTTACTAAACTTCTTTTAAGTTCATACAGTCACTGACATATATATATATGTATATATATATTTATATACAATAGAGAATAATGTTTTGAAAATTATTTGTGTACTTTTCCATATTTCTAAGTATGCAATATTCAACTTAGTCAGAATAAGCTGTTTGTTCAGCCAGGGTAATTAAAATTTATTCAAAAAATAATTTAAAGCCAAAGTATAAAGTAATACTCAGTTTCAAGTACACAAGATGCAGTTTATAGGACTTTAATAATCATAAAATAAAGGCATTATATATATAGTAAAATGATAGGTATCTAATAAATTTATTTGGTTTCTTACATGATTAAACATAGATTTACCATTTGACCCAGAAATTCCATGCCTTAGTATATAGCCAGGAGACATGAAAACTATGTCCACAAAAAAACTTGTTCATGAATGTTTAAATCAGTATTATTCTTCATAGCCAAAATACTTTAAATGGATAAATTCTATGGAATGTATTTACATCTCCACAGACTGTCTTTTAAAAAATAAATTCATTCAGCTTCCACTTAACAAATCAAGAGCTAAGGCTAGAGAAATCACCCATAGAATTCTTCCAGTGTATAGTTGAAGTCAATCTTGATTTGGTATTTAAATCCTAAGCAAGACTGGATGTAGAACTGGGAAGAAACGAGGTATAACACAGTAGAAAGAAGTATCACTGCTTGTACTGATAGAGGATAGTGATAATAAAGATGAAGTCAGAAGCAGAATAGCATATTAATAAGATATAGATCTCTAAAATTAGATTATAAATTAAATTAGATCATATATTGCTGCTAGATACGTTATCAAAATACTTCCTGTTTTCTGAGGTTTTGAAGTTCAGAATAAGTCATAAAAATGCTTTAATTATTGAGCAGTAGGAGAAAGAGAAATTTTTTTTTCCCTTTCCTCTTTTTAGGCTTCAGTCCAGAGCAGAATATGTGCCCAAATAAAGTATGAGGATATCAGCAGATGCCATTGGTGTCCCACCCGAAGCTGCAAACTTACTTAAAGTTTATCTGCAGCTTCAGAGGACCATTTCCATAATGACTGATGGCATTTTACCCTGGGTATGTACTTACATCTTTTTACCTTAATGATTTTTTTCTAGCTATGGGAATGTGCTTGGCTGGTTGGGACATCTTGGACTGCTAAGGACTTACCATTCCTAGAATCAACCTCAATCAATGAGGGATTGAATTGGTGGATAAAATCCCCATCTTGCTCATCTCTTCTATGTGATACTTCTGAGCTTTATTTCAAACAGTCTTTCAGAGGGCTTCTCAGCGGGACATACTGGTTTCCCACAATGATAACCCACTGATAAATACTTGCTTTATTCCTTTTCTCACTTGCTCACTCCCTGGAATCCTACCCTACATACAGCACTTCACCCACATCCTTATTGCACTTTCTGCAACAAGCAAGGGAACACTGAAAGCAGGGAGGTAGTTGTACAGTTTTCCAGTTGGGGTATCCAGTAGGAAACCAGAAGTTGTACAGAGGACTCCACATAAATGTGGGTCAGCTCAGCATAACAGCAAGGAGGAGTGGGTGGGTGTAATATATATATAGTTGTCCTCCTCAAGCCCCTCTCATTTTTTTGTGTTCAGTAGACCCTAAGCTGAGAACCTGTGAAGCTGCCATTGAATGCACTGTGGAAGAATGAAGGCACTATCTAGAGAAGTTTATAGCAGAACACTGGACCGGGGTATATATGAGGCACATAACATAAACCCAGGAGCTTTTAGCCAGCAAAACCTAAGAAGAGTAGATTTGGCAAGAGGAATATAGTTGCTTTTCACAATAAGTATTATCCAAGTAAAAAGAATATACTACAGATTTATTTGCCATAGGATGCCGGTAAGGTTATCAGTGACCAAACCAATAACGGCTATTTTACCCAAATAACAGCGGTGGCCTGCACCTGCAGCTTGTACACAGTCCATATTCATAAACCAGAGGCCCTTCTTTTCCCATGCCATTTTCCTCCTATTAATAAACTGGGACACCATATTTGCCACAGAAGCATGAGGGGGATGCAGGATCTCCAAGAAACTAAGCACTTTCATCTAGGAATTTCTGAAAACCACCTAAACGGAGTATTCATTTCTTTGGATCCAACCAAGTCGGAAACCTCATAAACTTTTAAAATTGTATTTCCCCTTGCTGACCAGCAGGTGGCAATCAAGATAAGAAGAATTAAAACATTTTTGCTGCTTATGTGAGTTTCTAGTGTGAGTTAAATTGGGAACTCAACTGCACACAAATGAGATTACACTATATCTACAGCTTTGTAACTAGTTTTTTACTCGACAAATATAATAGAACACTCATGTTAATTTTAATGAATGGATTGTGTTATATCCCATAATATTATTTTTAAAACTAATTATTGTTAGGTTGTTTCCTATGTTTGCCTATTACAAACAGCGCTGCAAATAATAAAATATACTTACGCTATCAACCTTCTACCCACACCTTTATATCTACAATTTACAAATTTGAGTATTTGTGTAATGTTGATTTCTAGAATGAAATTGCTGGTCAGATGTATGCAGTTTTTGTGCTCTTTTTAAAAACCCTTTATTGTTAAAAAAAAAAATTCAAACATACACAAAAGTAGAAAGAATAGCATTTAAAATATATATGCCACTCTTTACTGAGCTTCAACAAATATGAACGGCTTGTAATCTTGTTTTATTTATCCCCTCTGATTTCACCTCTCCACCCCCATCCGGGATAATTTTGAAGGAAATCCCAGGCATCATGTCATTTCACCTGCAAATATTTAGGATGTGTATTTAAAAGATATGTGCTCTCAAAGTCACGGCCATAATACCATTATCATATCTAACATTAAAAATAATTCATCATTCATTTTGAGGTAAACACTAGATAGTCATTTCTCAAATATGTTCTCCTAATTTTTCTGCTGCTGTTCAGCTTTCTCTTCCTCCGTTCTTCTTCTTCCTCTCTTTTATCTCCTCCTTCACCTCCTGCTTCTCAACCTCCTATTCTTCCTCCTTTTGCTCTTCCTTCCTTTGTTGAAGTTTGCTCAAGTCAGGATCTAAAGGAGATGCATACATGAGTGATAGGTTTCTTAAGTTTTTTTTGTTTTTTGTTTTTTTTTTTCATAGGTTTCCCTCCACCTCTTTTCTTTTTGCTTGTAATTTACTTACAAAAGAAAGCCAGTTATTGGTCCTATGGAGGTTTTGTAGTCTAGATGTTTGTGGTTCCATCATGTTTAATAAGTTCCTCCAACCCCTGTATCCCGTGCAAATTGATAGATCTAGATACAAGTAACAGTTTTGTTGATTGCTTTATGAGTTATACATATTTTCTTTCTTTAACCTATATTTTTCTGACTACAACGTCCATGTGGAATAAAAAGGGTAATTGTGTGATTTTTTTAAACCAAATTTTTATCTTAAAAATTTTCAAAAGTACAAAAGCTTGAAAATACTGTAACTAAATGTCAGTGTACTCACTAATTGGATTCAATAGTTTTTAATAATTTGAGTCATTTTCTTTTATCTATTTAGTACGTATTTGATGAGTCATTTGACATTAAGTTTTAGATATCATGTCACTTTGTCTTACCTACTTCAATGTACATCTTTTAAGAATAACGGTATTATTCCTATTTAACCAAAATACCTTTATCAGAATTAACAGTGATGAATATCATCTCATAATCCATGTCCACATTTCTCCAATTGTCCACAAAATGTTATTTTTTTAAACTTTATGTTTTGAAATAATTTCAGACTTACAGAAGAATTGCAACTATAGTCCTACCCTTTACCCAGCTTTCTCTAATATTAGTGCCTTACACAACTGCAGTACAATTTTCAAAAGCAAGGAATTAACATTGATACAACAGGATTAGCTACACTACTCGCGTATTTTAATCTCACTAGTTTTCTCATTGATGTCCTTTTTCAAGTGTAGGATCCAGCCCCAGATCTCATATTTCACTTAGTACTTGTCAAGTTTTTTTACTCTCCTCTAATCTGTCAGTTACCTGTTCATTCTTTGTTTTGATGATTTAATCCTTTAGTAGAATGTATCTTAATTTGACTTTGTCTGATTTTTTTTTCATAATTAGATTGAGGTAATGCCTTTTTGGCACGAATACCAAAGTACTGATGTGTCCTTAGTACATTATACTGGGATACATGATAGTAATACGTGTTATTCTGGTGATGTTAATCTTGATTACTCGGTTAAAGTAGTGTGTGACAACTTTCCCTATTGCAAAGTTGTTATTTTTTTCTCTTTGAATTAAATCAATACATTGTGGGTAGTGATTCTTTAAGTCTTTTCAAATGTCCTATTTTTATCATGCTTTCTCCTATTAATTTTAGCCTTTAACAATTATTTCTGTGGTTTATGTTTAATATGATTTGTCTCTCTCATTCCTTCCAATTTATTATTTGGAATTCTTCAATCTATTTTCCCTCATTTGTTCATTTATTTATTTGTTTGTATCAGCGTTAACTAGTGGGTATTATTATTATTATTACTCATTTTGTTGCTCTAATTTTTCTAAGTTTAGTTATTAGGAGTTCCTGCAGGTTGACTTCTGTGTCCTTTGACATGTCCCATCATTTGTTGAGCACTCTCTTACTTTCTGTCACCAAAAAATGTTTGAGACTCCTTTTGTATTCTCTCTGCTCTAGTCTTTAGAATCAAGTATTTTTCCCCAGAGTCCACTGAGGCTAGTTTGTAGTCTGCACTACTGTCGTGTCATTGTTTCCTGTGCTCTCTCAGAGAACATAACTAGAAAATATAAGCATGTACATTAAAATATGCACATCTATATTTTTATATCTATCTATCTATCATCTATCTATCATCTATCTAATCTATCATGAGTATTTTGTTATCTTTAGTTGCAACTTAAAACCATACAGTTCATTTCTTCTTTTCTCTTTCTGTTATTTGTAACTTCTTTCTCTGACAGTGATAAACCTTATTCTCATTATCTACACTGTATTTACTTTTTTTTTCAATTCTAGTATATATATAAGTAATTTCAGAATTGCCAGTTAATATTCCTGTGAGAAACACATTAACTAACTAGAGTATAGTATGTAAGTATAGTTCTTTCTGTATTTAGCTGTACAGCATATAGTCAAATTAAATTGTTTTCCAGGTACTTAGGTTATTTTTTTTTCTTCCCCATGCCCTGTAGAGTGGATTTATTATTCACTTTTAATATAGTTATTTATTTTTAAATTTGTATTCCATCTGGGGTTTGTACCCTACATCCTGATGGACTTTGTTGTTTTTTTTTTAATTTCAAGGTTTGTGAAACATTACCATAGTTATAACAGTCAGAGGTATTGAAAAGGTATGCCTAGAGAAACATTGTTACTCATCATCCCTTCTACACAATATTTATTCTGTTCTCATCCATTTCCTGTAGGTAAGTAATATCATTAGTTTCTGATTTAGTCTTCTATTTCTTTTGCAAAAATTAGCAGATATACATACATATATATATATATATATATACACTTTTTTTTATCCAATCCACTTTTACACCAAGTGTAGCATACCGTAGGCCCTCTTTTGGATTTTGCTTTTCTCACATAACTATATATCTTGCAAATCATTCCATATCTATTCAGACAGATTTCTTTATTCTTTTTTACACAGTTGAATAATATTCCATTGTGTGGATGTGTTACAGTTTACTTAAGCACTCACTCTTCTATGTATTAACATTTACATTGTTTTTAATATTTTGCAATTATAAAGAGTGTTGTAAAGAATAACCTATTGCATATGTATTTTTGTATTGTTCAAGATACATCTTTAGAATAGATTTCTGGAAGAAGGAATGTCAGGTGAAAACAATGCATACGTAGTTTTGTTGGGTGTTACAACCATTATAACATTTCACAAACCTTGAAATAAAAAAATAATTAAAATCAATCAGCATGTAGGATAGAACCCCCAAATGGAATAAAAGCTAAACGATAGGTCGGGCGCAGTGGCTCACGCCTGTAATCCCAGCACTTTGGGAGGCCGAGGCGGGCGGATCACGAGGTCAGGAGATCTAGACCATCCTGGCTACCCTGTCTCTACTAAAAATACAAAAAAAATTAGCCGGGGGTGGTGACGGGCGCCTGTGGTCCCAGATACTCAGGAGGCTGAGGCAAGAGAATGGTGTAAACCCAGTAGGAGCTTGCAGTGAGCCGAGATCGCGCCACTGCCCTCCATACTGGGCGACAGAGACCCCATCTCAAACAAACAAACAAACAAAAAAACCCTAAACAATAAATTATCTTCTTGGTGGGTTGTACAGTTTATAACTCACTAGGAATGTAAAAGAGTGCCTTTTTCCTCAGAGCCTCATAAAGAACTCGTCATCAACTTAAATATTTACCAATCTGATAGGAAAAATTCTGCCTCAGTGTTGTTTCAATTTGCATTCCTCTAATTATAAGTTCAACAATTTTCATATATTGGAGGACCATTTTCATATAGTTTTCATTAATAACCTGTTCATTTCTTGTCCCATTTTTTCTATAGGCCCTCAGTCCTCTGTACTTTAATTTTTAGGGTTCTTTATAAAACAGTTATTTGTTCTTTGTCTAATTTGCAAATATTTTCTTCCAGTTAGTCATTTCCCTTATGGTACCTTTGTAATGCATTTTTAAAAATTTTTATGAAATCAACTTTACCAATCTTTTGCCAATCCAGTGTCTTTGGATTTTGAGTCATGATTATAAGACTTTTTTGAAGTAGCACATTCTTTGAACTCTCTTCCCTGCATTCTGTGTTCTGATCTGCCCGGACACTTTTCGAG